TTCTTAGAAGCACCAAGGGCTGCTGCAGAGGCAGGTAGAGCACAGGACAGCCAAGTGCGGGGTGAGGGGCGCTGTCTACAGGAGCTTGCTGGACTGGAGCAGCTGGATATTGGGATGGGGGTATTTGACTCTTAGGAGTGGGACTACTTTCTCTCCCCCCTTGGGAACTCTGATGTGTGTGTGTACAGGTGTGCGTGCGCACACATGCATGTGCACACACACACACACACACACACACGCATGCACCTTAAAGCAAAGTGCAGTGAGCTACTAAAACCCAGCCTAGGGTACTTAACTCTGACCCCCCTCTCCGCCCCTCTTCCCCCTGACTCCCCAGAGCCCTAGCCCCAAAATTGTGTCTCCATGTGGCCTTGCTTGGGCAGACCTAGACAGGCCAACTCCCACTCTAGATATGAGGTAGGGGCTCTGTGAGGTTTTTCTGCCCCCTTCCAATCCCCCCGCCCCCATGTACCCCATTATAAGGCCAAGTGAGCCTGGAGACCTGACAATCGATACCCGTCAAAGATGAAGATGCTAATAACTTTATCTCCTCTTGTCCTCCAACTCTCGCCTACATTAGCCCTGACCACAGGCCCCAGGCAGCTGAGACCTGCCTTGGGCAAGCTTGCATTTGAGTAACCCCTTCAGATCCAGGTGGGAAGCAAGGGGGTAGCTAGCAGGGAGGACTTTCTGGCACTGAGGAATAGGAGGCCACAGGGCTGAGGGATAGAAAGCCTTGGAAGGATATTTTCCATTCCCATATCAACACCACTGGAGTCTGTGAAGATTTGTGATGTGACCCACAAGGACCCTATGGAGAGTAAGGGGGCAGGTCCTTATCTAATCCGTGAGGGCTGTCTGGCACAAGTGAGCTGGGAAAGACATTCTCACTAGGGAAAATCAGGGAGTCAAAGGACTGAGTGGAGGGGACAGTGGGACAGGATGGCTCTGGCCCTGCCCTCCCTGCAGCACCCTGGGCTTTCACATGGGGGTCTCAGGGGTAGCACAGAGTCTCTAGGACCACAATCCCCTCCTCACTTCACCTGCTCCCCTCTCTGAAGCAACTACACCTCAGGGCTCGAGGGGGACGTACCCACTGCCTGAGGCAGAGAGGAAGAGGAGTAGGAACATTAGAGGGAGGAGGAGTGAGAACCAATGTGATCAGAATCAGGAACATTGGCTGGGCAGGCACTGGTGGCTCTAATCCTAGCCTGGGCAGGAAAATCTGTTAAATTCATTTTTTTTTTTTTGTCAGTCATGGGGCTTGAACTCTGGGCCTGGGCACTGTCCCTCAGCTCTGCAGCTCAAGGCTAACACTCTTTGAGCCATAGCAGCATTTCTGGTTTTCTGGTGGTTAATTGGAGATAAGAGTGTCACAGACTTTCCTGCCCAGGCTGGCTTTGAACCGAGATCCTCAGATCTCAGCTTCCTGAGTAGCTAGAATCATAGATGTGAGCCGTCAGTGCCCAGCTTCTGTGAGACACTTATTTCCAATAAACCACTCAAAAAAAGCTGGAAGTAACTCTGTAGCTCAAGTGGTAGAATGCTAACCTTGAGCAAAAGAAACTCAGGGACAGTGCCCAGGCCCTGAGTTCAAGCCCCAAGACCAGCCCCCTCCAAAAAAGAATCAGGAACATTTTCACAGCACCTGCTATCTAGGCCAGGCCCGACCCAAGAGACAAGGATCTTGTTTAAACCTCAGAAGAGCCCGGATAGGTTAGTGCTATTATGCCCATTTTATAGAGAAGAACACTAAGGCACAGAAAGATTGAGTAAGTTGCCCAAGTCACACAGGTAGTCACCAGACTCCAGAATCTAAAAACATTACCACTGGGGAATACGGCCCTGTGAGGAGAGGAAGGTTGCTCAGTGGAGTGAAAGGTGGGCTACAGTCTTCTGCTCAAAGGGCTGGATTTGAGACAGGGCTCAGAGAAAAGCAAATCGCCTGCTTCTTTGTTTTGGGGCTCTCCTGCATCCTGGGCTCTCCTCCATTTTGGCCATGCCTTACACAAGCAGGTGCTGGCTCTCTGCTGCTGAGTTGCCCTACTCTGTCTTTCCTAACCTTTCAATAGGAACCCTGGCTTGTCTGTCTGGCCTACTCTGAATCTCTTCTTACCACCAACCACCACCATTACTATGCATTCCAAGCCCTTGATGCTGTCTGTCAGAGCTGGGGTGTTATGAGAGAGGGTGTAGAGTGATGCTTGAACCTGTGGAGCACCTCACTCCCTGCTGGGGGTGCCTAGGAGCCCTGGCACAGTCAGGATCCCCAGAATCTGGCTCCTCTGGGGAGAAAGCCCCACAGACAGCCTTCCCAAGGCCACTTCAGGAGTGAGGCAAGACAGGCTTTCTCCAGCGGGGACGTAGAGCAGCCAGGGATGCGGCAGTCTGGAATGCTCTCCTCAGCCTGGAGGCCTAGGCAAGCACAGGGAGGGGTGTCTCCCCAGGCGGCCCCAGTGCCCAGTCTGTCCGTTCCTGGAAGCTGAATGTGAACAGATGATCTGCTCTGTTCTCCAGTCGGGAAGCCAGCCCTGAGGGAACAGGGCAGGAAGGAGACATAGGCAGGGAGAAGCTCTGGGTTCTTTAGAGACCCTGTCCCAGTGCTGGGGTCCCTGGGAAGTCTAACTGACTTCTGCACCACTGATCCTTTTAGAGTAGAGCTGAACAAGGCCCACTCTGTGTGTGTGTGTGTGTGTGTAAACTTCTTTCAGTACTGACCCCACCCCAAGCCTTTCTGAGCCTCTATTTTCTAGCTGGGACATTCTCTCCTGAGAAGGAAGGGTGGTGGAGGGAAAAGCCTAAACAGGTCTGGGGGACCCAGATGTCCCATCACACAGCCTCAGGTCCTACTCCTGCTCCCAGACCCCCCAGGGGTTCTCGGGGGTCCCATTCCATCAATTCCCTTGCAGCCATGCATCTCAGCTGGAGCTCAACCCCTAGGGGCACAGGGCGGGGTGGGGGGGAAGCTAATGGACTTGGCACCGTTAGGAGGTAATTAACAGGGAGGGGGCAGGGGCCACCGTAGGGTGGGAGGTTCCATCCATGATAGTGAAACTCTATGGTGACGGAAGGGGACACTGTGTCTGGGCTTTGTGTGGCGGGCCAGGGACCCTGGCAGTGTACACATCTACAAATCCATCTTGAAGGGGCCAAGGGCCTTCAGTCACAAGCCAACAAGGTAAGTGAGGCCACTCCTGATCCCCAGCACAAGGCTCCACGCCCATGTGGCCTGAAGGGATTGGCATGAGGCTCCTGTTCCTGGATCAATGAATGCTATCCAATTCCTTCTCCCGTGCTCTCCTGAAATTTTTCCTTTAGCCCATTCCCAGAACCCCTCATGTCATCTGCCCAGCTTTTCCAGCAATGTCTCCCGCGGAGGTTAGGAACCTCTGAGGCTCATACTGTTGACCTTGGAAATGTTGCAGATGTCCTGGCAGGTTGTCACCTGACCTCCAATACTTCAGCCCTGATCCTGCCCAATACTTGAGCCCTGATCCTGCCCAATACTTCAGCCCTGATCCTGCCCAATACGAGTGAACCCCACAAAGCTTCTCGGTCTGAGGGTATTCTCCCTCCTCACTTAGATGAGAGCCTAGGAGGCGGGGGGAGACAGTGAGGCCCTCTGGAATCCAGGCCCCCCTACCCCCCCACCCCCCTGGACCCAGAGCTGGCTATGCAACACTCAGCCATCTCTGTCTCTCCCTGTCTTTTTCTGCCTGCCTGGGTTTTCTCTCTCCTCTCTCCTTTCCCTTTGCCTGCATGACTCCAACTGTGAAGCTCCCTCTGGACTGCATCTGGAGCCCTGTCCTCCCTCTCTCTACATCTGTGCCTGGCCTCACCTGTTGGATCTGATCCTCCCACCCTCTGCCTCACCATGCTCCCATTCCCTTCTTCCCTGGGTGGTGCAGCATTTCTTATCCCAGGGCAGGAGTGGAAAGGGGCGGGGGTGTCTGTAAACTTGGCCCTTAGGGATCAACTCCCCTACCCCCACTAATCAGCCTGCTGTCCTGGGTTAGATCTCCATTAGCAGTAACCAGCCTGGACAAGAGGCAGGCACCACTGCTGGGCTGGGCCTGGGGGTGATAAGACCAGATTGGATCACAGGAGCAGGGTGAGGGGACTGGGCACCGGGGGACATGAGACAGCTGGCGTAGCCTGGGGAGATGTGGGAGCGTGCATTATTGCAGGAGCTGGGCAGGAGATTGGAAGTGATGGCGCTGGCAGTGGGGGAGCTGTTCCTGCCTGGCTGCGGGCTGGCGGGAGCACAGGCTTTGGGGTGGGGAAGATAGGTGGAGGCAGGGCTCTGGTCCCCTGATAAGATGGGCCTGGGAGGACCTTAGTGTGACGGAAACTTCAGAGCATTCAGTGAAGATCACTCTGGGGCTCAATGGTGAGGGGTCGCTCCTTTGGGCAGAATGGGATAAGATGATGACTCTGTTGTTAGGAAACAGCCACTTTGTCCAGTCCTCACTTCCAAGGGCTAACTGCAAAGTGTCAGAGCATTGAAAAGGGGAACGAACAGGAGACTTGCTTCTTTTTGTCCTTCAGCTCTAGCCACATGCCCTCGTCCCTTTGTATCACAGGATGCTTGCTCTGTCCTGGGTACACAGGACAAGGAAGATTCACACATACACACACACACACACACACACACACACACACACACACACACATTGCTGTCAACCTGCCCTGCCCCATTCCTCTACTCCACCTGCATGTGGCAGGAACAGCTTCCTGCACTTGAAGCGCAGAGGTAGGTGGTCTGGGAGGGTCCATCGGAGGCCTCCTGGCCGCTAGGCCAGTAGGTGACTATAGCCATGCCCTGGGGTGGCTGCTGCATGAAGCAGGAAGGGACAGCTAGGGTTGAGGACCCCAGAGAGAATTTCCCCATACCTGAGTCCCAATGCCCCAATCCCAGAGTGATGTCATCTCAGGAATCAGCAAGAGACACAGCCAGGGTTAATAAATATAATTGCTATGATGGAACCTGGCCTCGAGAAGCAGGAACATCATCCATTCCCAGCCCCCCACCTGTCCCCTCCACATGCTGAGGGCGAGTTAGATGCTTTGAGATCACCCTGGGGTTACTGGGAGCTAAGGAGGTAGCCAGGAATATTCCAGTTTCTGCCCCAGCCCCTAACCCAGGACGTCCAGGTAGACGGGTGGTGCCTGGGCCAGGGCTTGCAGGCGGGCATGGACATCCTTAATACTGTGGCGCTGCTGGGGTTCCCGCTGCCAGCAGCCCCGCATAATGGCGTAGACCTCTGGCGGGCAGGCACGTGGCCTCTCCAACTCCCGTCCTTGTGTGATGCACTCGATCGCCTGCGGCCATAGGAGAGACAGAGCAAAGAACACACTAGGCAGGCGCAGAAGAAGGAGGTCAGCCTCACTCCACCTGGCCAGGCTCTGTGAGCAACCATATCATGCTCCCCCACCCTGCCTTCACACCCCACAGGTGGTCTGGACCCTCTGACTACCAGTACTCTGGTACTAGCACATCTCAAAATGCCTTTCTGCCCTGACACTGAGAAATTGGAACTTGGGTGAGACAGCTTCCAGAAGGCTGGAGTGAGACCCCCAAGAGAAGCCAGCTAGGGCGAGGAAGCCCCAGGACATTTGCCAAGTCCATCAGCTTCATGTGAGGGATGGAAGGGGCCTCTGCCTCAGCTCCGGAAGGAAAAAGAAAATGAGGCAAAAGTACAGTAAAAGATCTGAAAAGAATGGCAGGCCAGCCAAGCACTGGTGGCTCATGCCTGAAATCCTAGCTACTCAGGAGGCTGAGATCTGAGGATCGCGGTTCAAAGCCAGCCCGGGCAGGAAAGACCGTGAGACTCCTATCTCCAATAAACCACCAGAAAACTGGAAGTGGGGCTGTGGCTCAAGTGGTAGAGCGCTAGCCTTGAGCTGAAGAGCTGAGGGACAGGGTCCAGGCCCAGAGTTCAGACCCCACGACCAGCCCCCCCCCAAAAAAAAACTAGAAGTAGAGCTGTGGCTCAAAGTAGTAAAGCACTAGCCCTGAGCAAAAGAGCTCCGGCCCTGAGCTCAAACCCCACAATTGCCTAAATAAATAAAATAGTGTACAGTTTGATGAGCATGGGAGGTGGAGGCACTGGTCAAGTGGTAGAATGCCAGCTATAAGTAAGCAAGCTCATGAATGTGAGGTCCTTGAGTTGGAAAAAAAAAAAAAAGACTTTCCTGGTAAAAGTTGTAACATAAAATTGCTAGTATGGGGGCTTGAACTCAGAGCCTCAAACTTGCTCAAGGCTGATGTGCTATACTTGAGCCACACCCCAGACTGGCTTTTTGCTGGTTAATTGGAGATGGAATTTCTCAGGATTTTCTGACTAGGCTGTTTTTGAACCTTGTTAGCCACTAGTGCATGGATAACCATTTTTTTCTTTTTTTCACCAGTTCTGGGGCTTGAATTCAGGGCCTGGGCACTGACCCTGAGCTTCTTTTGCTCAAGGCTAGCACTCTACCACTTGAGCCACAGTGCCCCTTCAGCCTTTTTTTCTTTTTGCTTATGTGGTGCTGAGGAATCAAACCCAGGGCCTCATGCATGCAAGGCAAGCGCTCTACCACTAAGCCACCTTCCCAGCCCCTACACTAGGTATCTTAAATACATTGAACTATATAGTATTTATCCGTTTGCATCAGGCTCATTTCACCTAACATATTTTATGTGTTTTGACAAGCATATTCATCAGTATAAAAGCATTTTTAAGATGTCTATCATTCTCAGAATTCTCCTAACCTCCATCTCACTCCCCTACTCTAAGCCCCACAAAATCTTGATCTTCTTTCTGTCACTGTATATTTGTTGTTTTTTCTAGAATTTCCATATCATTAGAACCACACAATAGGTGCTTACTTATGCTCACTTCCCTCCCCCCCTGCCACCCCCCCCCACTTACCATAAAGATTTCTGTAGTTCATTACTCTTTATCTGGAGCAGTATTCCATTGTATAGGTGTGTCTAATCTTTACACCACTTTACAGTGCTCAGCTTTCTCCAGTTTAAGACAGCTAGAAGTTAAGCTATTGTGATATTTGTATATGTGTCTTGCATGAGTATCTGTTTGCATTGAATTTCATAGCAACTGGGAATGGAACTAATGTTTCGTATTTTTGTTTTGTTTTGCTTTGATTTTGTCAGTCATGGGGCTTGAACTCTGGGGTTGGGCCCTATCCCTCCCTGCGCATTTCAGCTCATGGCCAGCGCTCTACCACTTGAGCCACAGCCCCACTTCCAGTTTTCTGGTGGTTTATTGGAGATGAGTGTCTCATGGACTTTCCTGACCCAGCTGGCTTTGAACCGTGATCTTCAGATCTCAGCCTCCTGAGTAGCTAGGATTATAGGTGTGAGCCACCGGCACCCGACCGCTTCATATTTTTTACATATTCTACTTTCAAGGTTGTTGACTGTAACATGCAATGAAAATATTTTTTATCCAGACCATTTCCCTCTGAGAGTCAATTGGTGCTGTTGGGAGTCAACTGGGAGATATGGTCATGCAAACAGGATGGTGCTGACAGCTTTGGGGAAGAAACTGTTCAGGACTTCAGTGCTATCAGAAGTACCCAGCAGCCAGGCTCCAGTGGCTCACACCTGTAATCCTAGCTACTCAGGAGGCTGAGATCTGAGGATCACGGTTCAAGCCAGCCGGGCAGGTAAGTCCGTGAGACTCTTATTTCCAATAAACCACTAGAAACTGGAAGTGGTGCTGTGGTTCAAGCGGTGGTAGAGTGCTCACCTTGAGCTGAAGAGCGCAAGGACAGCGCCCAAGCCGAGAGTTCAAGGCCCACAACCAACAACAAAGAAGAAGAAGGAAGAGGAGGAGGAGGAGGAGGAGGAGGAGGAG